CGGGTGTGGGGGCGGGGCAGGGGCTGCGCTCTGCCCTGTCGCGTATTTGTACACCCTTTGGGCACTTAACCCACTCTGCCAGCCCAGTCCCATACCTGTCAAGAAAATTCATTGTCTTACATCGTCCTTACATTTTATCCGTGTTGTAGTCAATATTTATATATTTTTGCCTAGTATACATCCGCTTTCTAGGTTTCTACTTAGCGCTGCTGGGACTGAGTCTAAATGAAAAAACATTATCAATGATTCTAACAATAAATCATATTTTACATTTTTAAAGAAAAATACCCAGCATGCTCCACAGAACCAGACATCAGAGTCAGGAATGCCACAGTTGCATTCCTAGGACTTGGTCAATGAGAAGACAGATTCCAAAAATGCAGTGCTGGAAAGTTGGAAAAAAGCCACAGATGACGCTTCCAGTTAAGACAACCTGTGGCAACTGAGCTGATTTCTGTAGGTACTACCTTTTCCCCCTTTACAGAAATCGATTCATTCAGTCAGTCAATATGGATCTGCTATCATATGTCAGGCACTGTTCTAGGCCTTGGGAATTTTGTTGAATTAGACACATAGGTAAGTTTCCTCCTCTCACTTCTAGTACAGAGTTTAAACAAGTAAACAAATAGGTATTTATTGAGCAATTCCTTTGTGCCAGCACTGTTAAAAGTGCTTTATATGCACTTTTGCATTTAATCCTCACAAATAACTTCATGAAGTAGGTACTATTATCATCTCCATTTCGGTGATAAAGTTAAGGATCACATGACCGCACAGGTAGAGGGCAGGATACCTATCTAGACAGCCTGACTCCAGAGACCATCCTGGTAGAAATATTAAACAGGTAGCTGGATAAATGCCTCTGGGGCCCAGGAGAGAGAGAGCTAAATATATGAATTTGGCCTTCCTATAGAAAATATTTGAAATAAGACTGAATGAGCTCACCCAGGGTGAGTATAAATTGAAGTCTGAGAATTAAGCCTAGGGCACTCCAAGAAGGTGACCACGGACAAGAGGAGAAGGGGACCGAGATGGAGAGATCTGTGAGAAGGGAGGAAAACCGGAAGTCTGCGGAGGGAAGCTTTTGAAGAAGAGGCCGGACGCGCTGGCTCACGCCTGTAATCCCAGCACTTTGGGAGTCCAAGGTGGGCGGATCACGAGGTCAGGAGATCGAGACCATCCTGGCCAACATATTGAAACCCCATCTCTACTAAAAATACAAAAATTAGCTGGGTATGGTGGCGCGAGCCTGTAGTCCCAGCTACTCGGGAGGCTGAGGCAGGAGAATCGCTTGAACCTGGGAGTCAGAGGTTGCAGTGAGCTGAGATCCTGTTACCACACTCCAGCCTGGTAACAGAGTGAGACTTCGTCTCAAAAAAAAAAAAAGAAGGAAGAAGGAAAAAGGAAGAAGAAGAAGAGGAGGAGGAGGAAGAAGAAGAAGAAGGGAGAAGAAGAAGGGAGAAGAAGGAGAGGGGAGAAGGAAAAGGAGAAGGAAGAGGAGAAGGAGGAGGGGGAGGAGGAGAAGGACAAGGAGAAAGAGGAGAAGGAGGAGGAGAAGAAATAAGAAGAAAGAGGAAGAGGAAAGAAGAAGGAAGAGGAGGAGGAGGAGAAAGCTGTGTGGTTCACTGCCTAGAGGCTGAATGAAGGGGTAACAAAGAAATGGTTGCATTTGGCAAGAGGAAGGCCATGGGCTTATGGGGTGGGGACACCAAAGCCTGACTGACTGCATTGAGGAGATAATGGAGATGACGAGATAGAAACAGTGTCTTTTCACCATGAATTTGATCGATTTTGTGGTGCAGGTGTTCAGGGAAATGAAGTGGTAGCTGGGGGAGGATGTGTGATCAAAGAGGGTCTTCGTTGTGTTGTTTCAAGGTTTGGACTACTAGAAGGAGTTTTTCATGCTGCTGGGAATTATCTAGTGGAGACAGAAGTTTGATGCTGCAGGAGAAAGGCAGTCAGACCCTCTTGAAAGTCAGACTGATGGAGTCCAGAGCATAAGTGGGAGATTTGGTCTTTGATAGAAGCACAGACTCTTCTGACACAGGGAGGTAGTGGGTGGGGACTATGGGGAGGCTGGAGAGTCCTGCACACATGGGTTGCAGCACAAGGTAGTTGGGAGGTTTGGAGGGAGGAGATGGCTGACCTCACCTCCCCACCCCTGTGTGAAGTAGGAGGAAGTAAGTTGCTTGGTTGTATTGAGAAGGTAAAACTTCTTTAATTTTTGTATTACCTTTTATCCAAATGAGCCCTGTTACTATAGCGCTGTCTGAATTCCTGTAATTGTTAGTCCAGAATTATCTTGCAGCCTCGGAAAAAAATAAGTCAACCAACGATTTGAGTTGAGTGGTCTTTTACAATTTTAATACTACCACTAAAAATAAAGTGAAGTCTAAGATCATTTTGCACTTCCTATTGTTTTTAGAGTATATCCTGCATGGGATATCTAGAGTACTGTGTTCAAAAGTTTTCTGAAATCACCCTTTTCTCTATGTGCTGTGGAATCAATTTGATATATATTTCAGTTCTTTTGATTACATTTGTGTTCAATTTCAGTGTTTCCTTTTTTGTTTTGTTTTCTTTCAAAACAAAATTTGTAAATTATGTATAGCATGCATAAAGTCAAAACTTTATGACAAGGTATGTTTAAAGAAGTCTTACTCCCCAACATATCCTCTCCATGCCCTTCCAACTAATCCTCTATGGTAAATAATTGTATTAATTTCTGGTTCTTTTATGTTTCATTTACAAAACAAAAAAGGTAAATAGACAAATTTTTATTTTTATTTTTTTCTTACAAAAACATCTAGCATATTGTATTAGTGTTCTAGGGCTGCATAATGAAGTGCCATAAACTGGGTGGTTTATAACAACAGAAATTTATTCTCTCATAGTATAGGAGGCCAGAAGTTCAAAACCAAGGTGTTGGCAGGTCTGGTTTCTTCATGGGGGCCTAGTAGGAAAATCTGTTCCATGCCCCTCTTCTAGCTTCCAATGATTGCCAGCAATCTTGAGACTCCTTGGCTTGTAGAAGCATTACTCCAATTTCTACCTCCACCATTGCACAATACATATCTGTGTCTCTGTGTCCAAACTTTCCTCTTATAAGAATACCAGTCACTGGTTTAAGGCCCATTCTAATGCAGTATGACCCCATTTTAACTTGATTACATTTGGAAAGACCCAGTTTTCAAATCAGGTCACATTCGTAGGTACCAGGGATTAGGACTTCAGCATATCTCTTTTGAGGACACAATTCAACTGATAACACATATATTATACTCTGCACCTTGAAATTTTTGCTTAACAATATATACTGGAACTTGCTTCGTGTCAGTTCCCAGAAATTTTCCCAAATTTTAAAAATTAAATGCATAATCCTCCATTATTTTATTCAGCCAGTCATCTGCTAATAGATATTTAGGTGATTTCTAATCTTTTGTTGTTGCAAGTGATGATTCATAAGTACTTCATATTTGGGAAAGTGATTATCTTCACTAGAATAGCTAGGTCAAAGGTTAAATGCTAATGCAACCTAGTTAGATATTGCTAAATTCCTCTCCATAGGAGTTGTATCATATTGCACTTCCACTTACAATGTGTGAGGGTGCTTGCTTCTTTATTACTTGCGATCTTAGTATTTAAGTTGTTGGATTTTTGAAAATCTGAAGAGATGAAAAATGGTATCTCTCAGTAATTTTAATATGGGCATACCTGTTTTTATTGTGCTCCACTTTATTGTGCTTTGCAGGCACCGCATTTTTTACAGATTGAAGGTTTGTGGCAATCCTGTGTCAAGCAAATCTATTGGCGCCGTTTTTCCAACAGCATGTTTTCACTACATCTTTGTGTCGTGTTTTGGTAACGTGATGGTATTTCTCAAAATATTCTCACAGTATTTCAAACTTGTTTCCTATTATGGTGATCTGTGACCAATGATGTTTGACGTTACTATTTTAATTGTTTTGGGGCAACATGAAGCATGCTGAACTTAATAAATGTGTGTATTCTGACTACTCCACCAATTGACCATTCTTCCATCTGTAATTTTGGAAGAAGTTTCACTCTGAGTAAAATGCTATCAAAAAGCATAGAATGCTACAGAGAAATCTTTTGTGAAAGGAAGAATCAATTGAGGTGGCAAACTTCCATTGACTTATTTTATGAAATTGCCACAGCCTCCACAATCTTCAGCAGCCACCATCAACATAGAGGTAAGACCATTAGCAAAAAAATATTATAATTCACTGAAGTCTCAGATGCTTGTTAGCATTTTTAGCAATGAAGTACTTTAAAATTAAGATATGTACATTGCTTTTTTAGATGTAATGTTATTACACACTTAATAGACTACAATATAGTGTAAACATAACTTTTATATGCACTTGGAAA